GAATATAAGAAAGAGAATGAAAAAAAACTTCATTTTCATCTTGAAAATAACCAAGAAGAAACGGTGATGAACTCTTGAAAAAAAAGGTAAACTCTAAAAACTAACTATTTGAATAAATGATTTTTTCCATTACTGAACCATTGTGCTTCGTCATCGCGCTAAGTAATGCGATCAACGATCTTTTTTCTGACGAACCGCGTCGGTCCGAGTATCGCTACTCGAGAAATACGTCCGCAAATTCCTATTCACGAACCGACGTGCATATCTCTCGCTTCCGAAAGAGGACGTACGTCATCGACGACGTTCCTGGCCGCGACGACAGTCCCAGACGACTGCGTGACGATACCGCGAAACGTGCCAATGGCTACGCAACGGCAAGTACGTATCATGTAGTTCTATGCGTTTTGCGCGCGTTGGGATTGACGCGCGACGAAGTATCCGTGGACACGAGAAATTTATGAAAGTCCATCGGGAATCGAAACGTGGGACGTCGACGTCGGTCAAAGTTTTGAGCCGGACAGAATTACGCATGAAATAAAATTATTTGAAAGGAGAGAACGCGAAATTGCGTAACAATAGTCTTTCTTTTCTACCCTGAACTTTGAGTCGACGTCAGACGCGAAGACGAGATTCAGAAATCGGAGAAAATTAATTTTCACGCGAGCGCTCATGAGAGCACCAATGACCTCAATGGAAAACAAACGAAATGGAACGGACGAGGGTTAATCGAATGGCATTGTTTCCTGCTACAGAACAGCGACGCTGACGAACCCGGAGGACTTGGTGAACGTGGGCAGTCCGTTGAGGGAGGCGTCGCCTCGACCGGAAGTGCGGGTGGTCGCGCCGTCGCATCGGCCGCCTCCGAGCCTGGCTACCGTCAACAACGCTCAGAACACGGCTAGCCATCAGGGGTCCGCGAATCGTAAATCGGTCAGCATACTGCTTCCGGAGCACTCGAGCGGATGACCCCAACAGCGGCACGGTTTCGTGCACCGCTGCGAAAAGGACCCGCCATTGATTTAGGTATCCGTCAGGGGACTGGACGAAGGCAACGATCACGGGACGAAACGCGACGATTGCACGACGAACGGAAACGCTGCAGGTTCGTCGTGCGACCGGTCCTCCCGATTCAGCGTCGGGGAAGCGTGAAATGGCAAATCGACGTGTCGATCATTACGGGCATTCGATCTTGGCAGCCAATCGCGCGAGGAGGAGTTCAGCGACGTCAGGTCAGAGACGTCCACGACCGCGGGGGGGAGGGGGAGGGGATTGTGATCCGCGATGGGCATGGCGGGCTGAATTTCGTTTTCACGTCATTGGCAGAAAATTCGATCGTCGATTCGTTCACGCTTAAACTCGAACGAACGTCGGACGGTGAACGCCGCCGCGGGAGCGACAGCCGGTAGACGACGACCGTTTGTCCAGCTTTCGTTCTGATCGCCTTCGAGCCAGGCCGCTGTCCATTCTTATTTGCGTCGCTTCGCGTGCTTCGCCCGCCGGAAGGGCGAGTCGGGCCATGGACAGGTTCGCGACAGGTTTAAAATCGTAAAAGTTATTCTACGCGAGAGAACCTGACCGTGTTTGAGATCAGAGAAAACCCGAACCGGCAGAACCGGAATAATTTCCGTTCACTCGTTCATTGCCGAAGCTTGTAATCGACTGTCCCTGTCGATCGCAGCAAACAGCTTGACTGTGTCGCGAGATCTCACGGTACGCGTTAAACGACGAACGAGAGACCGAGCCGTTCGGGTTCCATCGTCTGTTCGTCTTACCGGTATCAGTTTTATGAAGCTGTGGACGGCGCGAAACGGAAATCGAGACGACGGCCTGGCTCGGTGTTTTCTGCGTTTTATCGTTGCAAACTTTTCTCATACCTTTTATCGCACCAGATCTGTGATCGAACGGCAAAGATATTATTAATTTTGTCGTGAAACGCGATGCGTTCATCGTGTAGCTCGCGTTCATTTTCATTTCCAACGCGAGGCGACGACGGATCGATCGTGAGATCGATACGAATCCACGATTTTAGATACGACAATCAATGAACCCCGAGGAAAAACAATCGGAACCAATCGTTGCGCTCTCTCCTATTGGGAATTGACAAATTTACCGTGACCTCTCGTGGCGAGCAGTAGAAATAGACGAGGCCAGGTGAAAGCATTGTCTGGCAGAGCAAATAAAAATTCACATCTTAGTTATCATCGCTTCCCTCGCGCAAACGAACGCTTTGTAAACAGGTAGAACAGGTTTGAAACAGGCTACTCTGAAAAAATAGATCTCTTCAATGAAAATTCTTTAGAAATCAGCAACATTACTAAAAGAACAAGAGTGTGCTCATTTTAAAACATCTGATTATTTATTCGCAGGTAAAGTTTCTTTTTACAAAAAAGTGAGATTGTCTTGTCACATTTTGATATGATATTATTGTGAACATTCTTTGTTGTAGATGTTCAAACAAGTAGAACGTATTTAAGAAAAAGCGCAGTTCCTTCTTATAATCTATCAGGTGAAGAATTAAAAAAATTAATGAAGAAGAAACATAAAAACAGCCATGAAGGAGACAGTATCACTTTTTCCCGCATTTAATAATGTGACCCGCTTGGTGCACTCGTTCACCTTCTATGAACCTTCCTTGGGAAGGACTTCCAGCCAGGGATCTCAGAATTTATCCCTTGGCCGAAAAGTGGGGACTGGTTCTTGATGGGTTCGCTTCGCGAAGGCGCATGAGGAGAATAGTAGTGGGGATTGAAATACGGGCGAAAAAGAGGGGAAGCGAGCCGTGCGGGATAAATTATGAGAACCCTGCTTCCAGCCCATTCGCAAATACTGCGCAAAGAAATCATTTTTTTCTAAAAAAAAATATATATATTCGCTCTATAAATCTGTGTTAATTCTATAGAGTTATTATAGATAGAGTAGGGAAAGTTGCCCGGAAACTGTATCCTGAATAGAAAGAAAGAAACAATAAGAGACTTTTCTTTATCTCTTTCTACTAGCGCATGATAGAAAGAGATAGAAAGAGGACTTCCATTTTCTGTCTCTATCTAAATGAGTACACGGTACATACCACTTACACAAGAGCCTACGTCTTCCATACTCTATCTATAACTCTATGGTTAATTCCTGGCCTCGCGTCGCCATGATGATTAGCTATATCTATTGATCCCGCCCCGTGTCAATTCCCAATAGCGACGATCAACGTTGATGAAAACTACCCTGAGTCAGCGTACCCATGATCGTGATAGACTTTCGCTGTAATTACCAACCGACAAGATCATGAACACAGATCGGTCGGACGGCAAAACGTCGAGACGCGAACCAGACCGACGACGAAGATCGAGATCGCAGTCGGTACAAGTAAAGACGATCATCGGGGGCGAGTTCGCACCGTTTTGCCGTTCGGCGACAGATCTGCGAATCGTCGTTCCATGATCGCTGTCCCGCGTCGATATCGAACCGAAGGATGGGTTTTACACGGTGCATTCATAATTTACTTACAAATAGAGAATAGTTAATCGTGTCACACGTTGAGAACGATACGTTCGCGCGTTACGACGCAATTTACGTGCATACGTACACACATAATTCCCGCACGCGCGTTTCATCAACCGGAGAGAGAAGAGAGATCATTTCGATAGCATATAGGATACGATGAAAACGTGCTCAGAAATTAGTTAAAGGAGTTGCTCCGACATAACGAAAACACCATAGGAGGTACAGAGGAACTCCGACTAAGTTTCGGAGTATTCTGTATCTCTACTTGTTCATCATTTTAGGTAAGTCAACAAATCCCGCTCGTTGATGAGACCTAGCTACGATCTTTGCCCACGATAATACTCTGCTCCCTGCCTTGACTTCGTCGTCCCGACCAGCATTTCTTAACGTTCAAAAATTAGTACTTCAAACGAAGTATAAGGCTTCTAACGAGAAACAATTTAACGATATTACTCATTCCTCGCAGACTTCTTTCGTAATTAAGAATAACGTGATTCGCAGTCTGGGCTCGTCTTACGATACTACAGAGTTTGAAGAACGAAACGATAATAAAATGTATTAAACATTTCTCTCGAATTCTTGGTTTCCAATTAGAACGTTTTTTCAAATCGTATCTCGTTTACAAGCATGCCATCAACGAAAGAGTGGTAGGTAGGACCACCGAGGAGAGATTACTAAAGAATGATAGCCTTATGGTACTTTATGTCGCACGAAAAAGCTTTTAATTTTTTCGTGTTTTTGCCAAGGTGCAAACAACTGCTTACTTGTCGCTAGTGTAAAATGTTTAAAACAAAAGTTGTAGGCACCGTCAAAAGCTACAAGTTAGCGTCAATAGTTAACGAGTATTTTGCAATAAACTGTTTTTTTGCCAATTACTCATTAACTATCGACGTTAGCGAAAAAATTTTCAAACAAAAGTTGTAGCTGAAGGTGCCAGATACAAGAAAGATCCTACGCAATTTGACTGTAGTTTGAGACCCATTGGGCCCCATTTGCTGTCGGAAAGATTACACAGGCAGTTCGTTTCATTTTATAACAAAATATCTCGTACCGGATTAGTTTTCGGTGCGAGACACCCACCAAGTGGGTACAGGTATTGCCACTCTTTAGTAATATATCCTCAGTGATAGGACATTTGAGGACCTGGCGCGGGTAGGGATAGGCAGAGATAGGAACTGGTAAAACGCTTAGAACAAAATAAATCGAGAAAAAAGACTCCTAGGATTCGTCGAGAAATCCGTGCGATGGTGCTCCTGCAGTTTAAATCGAGGAAGAAGGTCGAATCGACTAGTAGTGAAATTATCGTGGGCGCTAATTACACATACATATGTAGTTTTAAGATTCTAGGCTTAAGACAAAGCGTACGACTCGCTCGGTTGCCGTAGCTTCCATCGGTCTCGACCATTCGCCTAAAATCCTGGTCCGCCGTCGATGTCTACTTGTCTTTTTCTTTTTTTTTTTCTAGGGATTTCATATCCGCAAACGAATTGTCTCACTGTTTTGATGAAGCAACTGTTTGTATCGTTTATCGCATCTCGCGGTGCGCTCGTAAAAACATTTTGTATGAGAACGATCTTGAGGCAAGAAGTGACAAGTGCCAAATGGCGACTGGTGAGGAGAGACGATCTCGAAATACACGTGAAACGAGTGTTGAGGCATCATCTTGAAATTGTTGTACCGCAAATTGTTTGCAGATATGTATTCGACGATGTCGAACAGCGGCCGAGCGGGCCCGTAAAATTTTAGATAAGATTCTAGTCCTGTAAATACGTAGATAGACGAAAAGTCGAACGAGGAATCGGCAGAACTATTAAACAACCCGAGACAGTTTCGTGGTGAAGGTCTGATGTAAAACGTTTGTGACTGGTGTCAACTCTTAGCTAACGAACGCGTTACAAAATGGGACTCTGGTTTCTGATGTATATCCGACAATATATTTACATTAATCGTAACGGTCTAGTACGCATCCTCGTACGTGTTATCTAGTTCGCTCCACGGAGATCGTTTACGCGTCCCCGTAAAAGAAGAAAAAAAAAAATAGAAAGACACATGAGCGAAAAGAGATAGATCGAATTGGTAAGAAAACGGAAATGGTTCGACGTAGTAACGCGTGATTGCGTCGTTCGACGACACATTTCGTATATGGCATCGACTTCGAAGCGAGATAAAAAATAAGCGTGTGCCAAACAGGTGCGAGTTCTGGTTTTCAGCGGCGAAACATCGAATCGAGACGAGTTGTAAATCGAACGAGAAACAGAGAGAGAGAGAGAGAGAGAGAGTGAGTGAGTGAGTGAGAGAGAGCGCTAATGGCTCAGAGAAAGAAAGAGAGAGACTCGTTGAATATTTCACGATCCCTCGTCGAAGATCCCATGTACACGGTTACTCACAAACAGGAACGCGTCCCATCGCGAAACCGGAAACGAAGTCGGTCGGAAATTCACGACGACCTTCGACGAAATCTGGTTTTTAATAGAAATTGCGACTGCGATCGGAGATTTCGACAATAACGATTTCTGATTCTAATAGAAACCAGCTGATCGACGCTCGTTCGCGACGCTCCACGCGCATACACCAGTGAAACTGTTTTCGTTACGTTATAGAAACGCGGCAAGAACGTCCTCATTTTCTGTTCCCACGAGACGGGGGTAAAGAGTGGAAAACGAAAGGATGAAAACGGAACATTGTAATAGATAAACTGTAGCAACGTAAGCGGTTATTGAAGTTATGATTTTAAATACGTAATCACCAGTTGAGCGTGCGGAGAGATTGAAAGAGGAAAAATACGTGACGTTAGAGAGCGGCTACATACGTACGCGCCTTGAAGAGAAACGTTCGTTCGACCTCTGGTAACGATTTTATCTAAATGCATCGCTGTGAACATTGGTCGAACTCTATCTGTCCGCGATAATCAGTTCCATAGGTATTAAAACAGGCTGATCAAATGATACGATGGAATTACATGTACGTATAATACATATATGTACGTATTCGTACATAGGTAGTAGATTTACGGCGGTAGGGCCGATGGAAAACTGTTTCCCCTGTCCCTCGGCTTATTTCGATCACCTCGCTCAAGTTTCTTGCAGGGATGGTATGCGAAATCCCTCACGACGATAGTGGGGATTTCGTATACCATCACTGGTTTCTTTCCACCGTTCCACTGAATTCAGCTTCGGAGTTGGAGTCGGAGCACGACTCACGTTCTCGTTTTCGTGGGCGAGGCTGTTGGACAAAGGGATTAAAGATGGAGAACTATCGATAGTCACTACCATCGATAGTTTCCAATATTTTAACACCAATTAAAAGTCGTCTAATCTGTCGTTTCTTCGTTCGCCATGTGTGCAAAAATGAAACGATGGTATCGGACAAGATACGCCGTGAAATTGATTCCTCAATGGCGTCTCTTCGATCGTGATTTGCCCCGGGTGCGTTGACCATTAACCGGGTCCAGCGAAATTACTTGTTCAATAACGCCAATTATCATCGTCGTTCATGACTCGTCAGCGACCTTTCACATTCGTCGTGACCGCTCGATAAAGAGATCTCGTGTCTCGTACTCGTTACGTCCACATACATCGCTTCAAACGGTATTTGAAACTTGTTTCTTTGATCTCACGGTTCAAGTAGATTTTACATCGTTTATCGAGTTTCGTATACTATCGTTCAGTAAACATCTTTTGAAATCCGTTTGTATCGATTTAAGTATATCGCAGTGATTCCTGTGGCCCGAGTCCACAAACTCCCAGAGGACCCGATCGGAAGGCTTCCGCTTCGGAGATCGAAAATACGACGAAGAGACGTCCCGTTTAACAAATTTTCATTCCTGCTCCGTTCGACAGAATCACAAGAACTTCATGACCGATTTATGTAAATGCATTTCTTTGATTCGTTCCGGCTGGCGATCTTCTGTGATCGCGATCGTACGTACATGCGTTTGTAAGGATATCATGTATCTAGATGATAATTATTCTTACCATTGATCATAAAGTACGACGTAAATAAATTTGATCAGATGTACATTTAATATTTTAGAATGTTTTTAATTTCGTCTGACAGTGGCGACGTAAAGCAGTACTCGTCGAGGAACAGAAACCGAATCGATCGACCGCTCTGAACGGTCGTATCGGTGCGGCGTCGTCCATTCCCGTCGAATCTAGTGTAATCGAAAGGGCTAATATTCCTAAAGATAGAACTAGCACCAAAGCCATGGTGCTCTCAATGCTAACTCTCGAAAATGCCTGAGCTACGACGATTCGCAGAGAAGTGCTCCGTGGATCCGTTTCTGAAAAAACAGTTGGCCTCAGGCCCGAGGGAAAGGGTCTGCGTTTTAGCACTCTCACGCGTTGTGCACGTGATTGGCAAGTAACTTTCTCGAGGAGCTTTTCCCTAGGGAACGTCAGGCATCCCGTCGTTGCCTTAACAAGGAGTTCGATCTTGGGCACCTGGCATCTGAGACTTCTTACTTCGCGTTTTCGGTAGAGATAAGTGGTCGGAAACGTAGTTGAGGGCAGGGTACGCATAATTTTTCCCTCGGCCGGAAAGTGGGCACGACGCGACCATGATGGGGACTGGTACTTGATGGGGGTATGCTAGGCATGGTCAGCGAAGGAACATGAGGGGAATAGTAGTGGGGATCGAAATACGGGCGAAAAAGAGGGGAAGCGAGCCGTGAGGGAAAAATTATGCGCACCCTGCTCGAGGGCAGGGGTCTCAGAATTTATCCCTCGGCCGGAAAGTGGGGACGACGCGACCATGGTGGGGACTGGTACTTGATGGGGGTATGCTAGGCATGGTCAGCGAAGGAACATGAGGAGAATAGTAGTGGGAATCGAAATACGGGCGAAAAAGAGGGGAAGCGAGCCGTGCGGGAAAAATTCTGAGACCCCTGGTCGAGGGTCCCTTGTTTTGGGTTTTCTTATACTAGTTTCATTTTTTTACTTTCATTTTGTTACATCAGGCATGGGCAAAAGTGTCATCTCGGGAGCCACGACCTTGAGCGCGAGCTAAGGTGGGGATGCTTGACGCTATATAACGTACAGGCGTGTATCTACATTTACGAGTGATAGGGAGAGCAACTAGTGTGGGGAAGAATGAAATGCCCATGCCTGTGTTACATGTAAGCTGCTGCGTTATTATCATTATCGTCAAGACGAGTGATCAACGATTCATTATTATTCATCGTTCTCGTTATTACCGCTACCATTGTCGCGAGCAAGTTAAGACGAAAGCAAAATATGAATGCTCTGTACTCTGTGTCTGTGTCGAAACTACGTATGCACTATGTATGTATAGATATTAACGGTCATCGTTATTGTGCGACTGAACCTCCATTACAATAAGAAACGTTACACTCCTGCTGCGTCCTGACCCCGACTATCAACGATTGTTATTGTCCCATGAAGATCGAGACGGCGCGTCGTCCGGCGAATCTGTACGGTACCGGATCGTTCGGAGAACATTGACAGAGTAATTGATGATCGCAAGTCATAGGCTGGTACTCAGAGTCGTTGCTTACTCTTAAGGGGCCTTACCAGTGTGACCGCCTAAAATTTA